AATTGTAATTTGGGGGTTTATGTTGGTGTTCTTACTAATGATCAATATTTTTGTCTTCTTACAATTTAGTTTTAGGCCGTATTTATTACATGTTTCTATAACATTATCCATCATCCTTTGAAGCCCCTGCGCACTATCTGCCAGCAATACAGTATCATCTGCCTTCTTCTTCTTAGTCGTTAACCTGATGCAGGTATCGTGATATCATGAAGCTGTTAGGTAATTTTTCCAATGTTCCTCCACGTTTTTCTATCTTCTGCCAATCTAGTGCCAACAATATGGTCGTGTATCGTGTAGGAGATCTACCTCTACTTCTTTTGCCTTCTACTTTTCCCTGGATGGTAAGTTTTTCAAGACCATTTCTTCGAAGCACATGTCCAAAATAGCTTATTATCTGTTCTGTTATTTGTGTTCTTAGTCTTTTCTTTATGATTAGCTGGACCAGTATGGATTCATTTGTCCTTCGGGCCACCCATGGTATTCTCAGCATTCGTCTCCAGCAGTACATCTCAAATACATCTATGTTCTTTTTGTCTTTCTCAGTAAGGGACCAGTATTCCGATGCATAAGTAAAAACTGGAAAAACTAGACTTCTTACTAGTCTCATTTTTGTATCGGTAGTAATTTCATGGCTTTTCCAAATTTTTGTTAATTTTGCCATAGCGCTTTTTGCGATTGCTGACCGCCGCTTTATTTCTTCAGTACAGCCTCCTTTGTTGGTTATTAATGAGCCCAGATACACAAATTTATCTACAACAGCGATATTGTTTATCCTAACCAGATGATTTTGATTGTTGTTAGCTCCGTCAATTATCATGATTCTCGTTTTAATCCCTGTTTATTTTAAGGCCCATCGTTAAGCTTACGTCTTCTATCCGTTGTAGCAGGTGAATCAATTCAGTTTCAGAACTAGCGAGGATAGTAGTATCATCTGCCTATCTAATGGTTTATAAGTTGGCCATTTACTGCAATACCATCTTCTGATTCATCCAAGGCTAAAGATGTTTTCAGAGTATTATTAAATAATGCTGGTGACAGTATGCAACCCTGTCTAACTCCTTTTGCGACTGTGAAGATCTCGGACAGTTCATTTTCGAATCGTACTGTTACTTTTTGTTGGAGATATAAGTTTGAGATCAGACTTTTACCATCGAGTCCTGATGTCTTTAGGATATCAATTAGTTTCCCATGTGGGCTTTATCAAATGCCTTCTCGAAATCAATAAAACAAGCATACACATCTCAGTTGACATGTCTGACACTCTGTATCAGAACTTGCAGACTGAAAAGTGCTTCCCTCGTTTCGAGTAATGCCCTGAATACAAATTAAACTTCAGGTGTTCTGCTAATTTGGTGTATGTATATAATAAATCGCACATTGAAATCAAAAGTGACACTAAATAAAAAACTCAATTTTACAGTATAGCTGTTTAAAGTTTTTTAACATGATTTTTATGCCCAGACTTAAAAATAAATTGAAAACAAGCAATGTGATTAGTTTTAAATAATAATTTAATTGTCTCTTTTTCAGTATAAAATAACTTTTAAATAAATTATCAAGTGTTTGTTGGAAAAAAAGGTATTTGAAAAAAAATTCAGTATAGTGTCACTTTTATTTTTATACAATCAATTATTTTTTGTTTAATGGCATATTTAATTTATTAACTCTTCTACTATTCTACTACTCCAATTGAGTAAATGAATGTCAGGAATAAAATAAAAACTAATTTTAGATGAATAAAGTATTTATTTGTATGTACTAAAAAGAAAGTCTTACTCGAATCAGTCACGACAATATTACGCAATGGTTTAATTAAAATAAAATATTTTAAGACTATCAAATTAAACTAAGAAAATAAACGAACCGGAACAAAAAATGCAAATAGGCATTTGTAAAAATGTGATAATACTTAAGAGCTATTACATTTTCAAATAAAAATACTTTCATAGTAGGATCGGTAATATCCAGGAATCAACTCCGCACCCACAAGACCTCTCACGTCATTTTTCTTCCTTTCGGATATATCCAATTTTTGGTGGTACAATGGTTTAAGTTCTTGAGGTCGGCTATTTCTGGATGTTCTTTTTGCCAAATCAAGTTCCTTGAAGTCGTCAAAATAAGACGTTTTATAGAATATTTTAATCTCATTCATTACGTTCTTTTAAATTTTAATGACTTTTATATCAGACAACTTTACAACCGCATTATCAACACTCCTATTTAGCTTAATAACTGGCAGTTGTTTCAAATCCATAAAATCTTCGTATCCCATCTCATTTACAATGTACGGCGTCCCACGTTTTTTCGAACTTCTGATGGCACAGACGTATTGGGAAGGTACGTAAATGGGTGCAGATTTAAGACTTTTTTTACTTCCTTCTCAATCGTTGAATGTACTGCGTCCCCTTCATTTTGTGTGTGGCCTCGGATTAAGAACTTACGGTTATTAATTTTACTTTGACATTTAATACTACATAGACGTACATTCCAATAATAAACTGGTTCTTCTGTTGGCCACAGCAGTTATCAGAATAGAACACTATATTAAGATCTTTATTAGCGAAAGAAGACTTCTTTTGCAAAAACTTCAAAACACAGCTACCTATTTCATTGGCTCCATGATTGCCTTGAGATTCATCCCAAAAGTAAGTTTTTCTGCTAAATGGCGGTCATAATCTTCCTTCAAAGCTTCCTTTCTGGGATCTTCAGCCAGCTTATATATTGTGCATTGTTCATATTGGTCCTTTTTAGGTACGAACAAACTAATATTAAATTCTTCATTGAAAATGTTTCGATACGAATGTACCATAACATAGGGTAGTCCTTGCTCTATGCAATTTTTGTAGTCTGAGTAAAGATCCATTACTGTTTTTCTACCATCGATGAATTCCTTCGAGGTTTGCTGACGCAAGTAATGACTCTAGATTCGAGGGATGCTGTTTATGTGTGTTTTTACTCCTACCAAATCGATAGACAACTTTCTGTGATTTTCATGTTTTCCTCTCTTTTCACCTTCTAAAATACCAGTAAAAGAATCTTTTTTTTTCCAGTACAGTTCTGATACACCTGCCAGTTATACCTAGTGTATTTTTGTAGAATGTCTTGCATACTCTGGTTTTCTTCTTCTTCAAGTGCCGTCTTCGTTCCGAAGTTTGGCTATCATCAAAGCTATGCGTATTTTTGATGCTGCAGATCTAAACAGTTGGTAATTGGTGCAATTGTACCATTCTCTCAAGTTTTTCAACCATGAACTCTGGTTTTGGTACTATTTATTTTAAAATAAAAAGCATTTTTTGCCTTCCTATTTGAATTCATTTTCTTGTATTGATATTTCGGGATAATATTTTGAATACTACGAGCTATGTATTTTCTTTGTCGGTCTAAGGAAGCCATAGCCCAGTAATCATCAAACAGTTTTTGCCTTGATACTCCAAATATTTTATCTGAGCATTTCAGCCGACAGCTATTTCCACAAGTTTGTTTTAGAATTTTTGCCGGAAAAACCTTTTTTTGTTTTGGAAGTTGAAACATATGCTTGCAATACTGGCATATCTCGGCTTCTTTTTCTTCTCTTTATTTGGTTTATCATTGCCATCAGATGCTGAATGGGCGGCATTATTGTCGTCGTGAGCTTGAGTACTTTGGTCATCTAACTGAGAATTTGAAGCTGTAACAATGACACTTTACTTAAAATGACGTCTATTTAATATGGCAAGAAATTAAAAATATGACATTTAAACCACAAAAATGACACTAAGCATAATATGCCCCTTATTTATTCTATATAAACACAGTTATCTGGAATAGTTGAGTAAAATATCGGCACTTTACAAAATATGCCAATAACGAAATCATAATTTGTTGTATTTTTACTATCAAGTAATTAAAAAAACGACATTATACAAAATATCACCTCAGCTAAGAGGTGATATTTTGCCTATTTTCACTATTTTGCCTATTTTCACTCACCTCAGCTAAGACTCGTTGCAGCGGCTGGACCTTTACTGGTTTAGTGTCGGTTTATCGGTCACGACCCATGCTCGCGACAACAAAGTAAGAAGTGACATTAGCGACGTTTACAGAAAACCGAGCGAGCTATTACAACGGAGATCTTTGCAACAGGCGTAGTTTTGCTCGTAGATTTTAGATGTCGCTGTAACTAAAAACCACCGAATTTTGTATAATGCCACTTTTGATTTCAATGTGCGAAATGTTTAGCTATTAAAATGTAACTAACTGTTTTTTTTTGTATTAACCTATTTATTATTTATTTTTGTAGTAGTCTTAGTTTATTATTACGTTTTAATAAAATAATATTTAAAACCGTTTTTTTTAATTAAAAATAATAAATAAAATGATCCAAAATAATGAAATTATTAGATAATTCTACACTTACAATAATACAAAATATGCGAATTAATCAGCCAGGATACGATTGAGTCAGGTGTTCAATAAAAATTTAATTTTAGATGATTTCAATTATAAAATGAAATTTTTAATTATAGATTAAAAATTATTCTGTAGTCAGATAAAAGAATAACATCGGCAACATTGATTTTAATTACTGAATAATTTCTGACATATCATATCTTTTCGTGACAAATCGGATCTTTTTCGAGGGATCCATGATACTATGACTATAAGATAAGATATTGCGCATGTTTTTGTGACGTCATTGGAGACTTGCACGTTCGAAATGTCAGTTTTTGTATATATCAATAAATAATCTTTAATAAATAGTTTGGAGATATCCTGATGTGTACGATTATTGTAATTATTAAACCTCTTAACTTATTTTCATCTAGTAATTTCATCACAGAATGCATACAAATCTCATTTAACTTTAACAAGAATTCAAATTCTAGTCTCCAATGACGGCATGCGCGAACCCGACCGATTTTGAGCTACGGGAAGATCCTATCTTGTTATTCATAGTATCATGGAGGGATCATCGGATAATCTAGAGAAATGCGGTTGGCCGGTTGGCAACACTGATTACTGATTATTGATTATTTGCTTTATTATTTTTATCGTTTCTTAATTATCTCTGAAATACAAAAATATTTTTGTATTTCAAATTTTGGTGTTGTTTTCTGTAAAAACTTATTTTGAATTATCGAAGAAACGTTATTCATTGTAGTTGTACATCGAACCTATTGTAGAGTACCTTACATAAGAATATCTTTTTATAAGGTAGGTTAAAACTTGTTCATTGTGTATTAACGCAATAATAATGTTGATGAAATTTTAGAATGCCAGGCACAGGTTGTAGTGTGGCTACTTGTAAAAATAATTTTTATAAAAACAAGAAGTCTGCCGATTCTGATCAACAATTAGCATTTTTCACATTTCCCAAAGATCCAAAGTTAGAAAAAATATGGGTTATGCGCTGTTGCAGTAAAGATAAAATAAATATAAAATATGCTAGAATATGTAGTATTCATTTTAAGAAGGATGATTTTGTGGATGACATGTATGCTCGAATAATGGGAACTAGGCCTAAGTTGAAATTAAAGGATGGAGGTAAGTGTTTTTGACTTAATGTAATTATGTTTATTTTCATCACTATTTTGTAGCAATTCCAAGCAAAAACTTAAACTCTCAAGATGTTACAAAACAAACAGAATGTGAACCTACAGCAAAAAGAGATAAAAGAGTAGCAATGAAAACACAAACCCATATCATTGAAGACTTATTAGAGGTGCATTCACATAAAAGGAAAAAAACTAATCTTGTAACCATTGATTTGTCTGATGTATCAGGTACAAGTAAAGAATTGGAGGAAGATATTTTAAAACGAAAATATGATGAGTTGCTTGAAGAAAACAAAAAACTAAAAGAGAAATTAGAAAAAAGTGAACAAGACTTGCTTACTTGTAAGTATAGAAACCGTGGATGGCGCTGGCGTCAGAGTTTGGTACTAAAACACAACCTTATTCCTTATTTTATTCTGCCATTTATTTACATTGTTTGGTAACGGTTTCCTAGTTGTTTTGCATATTTTTGAGTGATTTAAGTTTGAATAAGTTATTTAGGACATTTTAATTGCTTGAACAATTTACTGTTGGAGAAATTTTTTTAGTTTTACTAAAACTTTACAATATGCCTTACAAGTGTTGTGTGCCATAATGAAATTTCCAATAAAACTGTCAATGTTAAGTTTCATAAATTCCCCTTGAATATATGAATATATTGAATATGTATGAACCTGAGGATAAAATATAAAATTCAGTTTTCAGTTATGATTTAATACCAAACCACAGTATATTACTTAAAAAGAATTCTTTTTTAAGCAACATACTGTGACCAAACATCGATGTAAGGGCCCCTTACAGATATTTTTTTAAATTTAAATTTTAAATGTCATGGGCATGTGATCTGTTATGGGAATAATAAAGTATATATTGTAAATAAATTTTAAGTTTGTGCATTATATTTGCTATATTGTTTTGGTTAAATTAGGTTTTCATTTTCATGCAACGAACATAACCTTGGCATCTGCTGAATTCAGAGATATGTAAGAGCTGGCTCCTACATATCTCTGGCTGAATTATGTTTGGGTGTCAGTGTTGCCATTTTTTTTTTGTTTTATGGTAAGCCACAATTTAAAGCATTCATAAAATATTATTTTTTTTATTTTAGGGACAAAGTAAAAGACAGAACAATATTTAGTGTAGTTCAATTTAAGTTTAGTTTAATTTAGTGTATTCTTTTGCTTAATCTAAATTTTTTATTTTCATTTAACTTCACTTTATTCTGTAGTTTCTAAACTATATATGTATTTTTAACACTTTTGTTTGTTTTAAATTTTAATTTCATATTAATTATATATTTAAGTGCTCTTACCCATAATTTTATATGTGAGAGTATGAAATAATTGGCCATATGGCAACACTGAGGTATAATAAGCTTACACCAGAGATATGTAAGAGAGATGTACTCTCTTACATATCTCTGGCTTACACTTAATGTCAAATTCAATCAAAATGATAGGTTATGTCACCCCATGGTACAAAGAATAACATTCTTTGTACCATGATGTCACCCTATGTACATTGCTTGAAATCGGAAATCCCAATTCACCAATTCCTATTTTATTAGATATGGGAGAAAAAGTTGAAATTAAGTATGAGTTTGTTGGAGAAGACTCAAGATGTCTAAAAAGTCACCCATCCACATCCCTTGATCATGAATACTTCAGGAATGAACCAGAAGATAATTCAGGTAAGATAAGTAAGAGAATAGTAGTTAACAATGTGGTGTAATATCCATTTTTTATTAGTTATGGTTGTAAAAGCTGAAATTAAGGAAGAATTTGTTGAAGGTACCCCAAGATATATAAAAAGTGAGTTATCTACATCTCTAGATTTGGAAGACTTGAAGCATGAACCACATGAATATAACTCAGGTGAGATAAATAATACAAAATGTAAGGAACTTTTTATTTTTTGTGATTTTAAATACATTCAATAAATTTCATCTTTAAAACCTGATTTTTTCGTTTCTATTTATTTTATATATTGCTATGCATGTCACTACAGTTTTACTGTACATGCTAGGTAATTTCTGTAGATGGTATTTATTTAATGCATGGGATAACCTCATAACAGTTTAAATTACAATATAAATATAACAGTTAGAATTCAAACAGGTACTAGTGTAATAAGCTGGATCAATGTTTACAGAGATGAAATTTATATCAAAATAGATAATATTTAATAGCCCAATGTAACTATCCTATGTGTTTTGAGTACCATAGGTTGTTCTGCGGAAAGAAATATTGAAAACATTAATAGGTTTGGACATTCAATAAATCCATGTTATGATCTTAGATATAAATATCATCATCATCAAAGCCTTCTTCAGAACAATCTTCCATTGCCTACGCCACAAACCCTGTTGTTGGACTCCTCTACATTTTCCTTAGAACTCTCAGATATAAATATAGCTCCTGATATATCACGAAGGTTCCTGAGTGGGGATAAAGATAATTGTTGTTCGATAGGGGAATAATCATCATTTTCAACAGTAGTGTGAATGTGGTAAGCATAGTATCTTAAAAAATTATGCTGGACTATTTCTATGGTATCAATATTGTTCTGAAAATAGGGTGACCAAATATCTGAGCATTGTTCCAAAATAATTCTAACTAAGCAACAATTCTTGCTGAATCAATGGAGAAATACTTACAATTCCTAATAATGAAATCAAGAAGTTTAGATGCCTGTATTGAAATAGTGTATGTGGTATAGTCACAGAAAGTAAGCTTCTTATAGAAAATAGCGCCCAAATCCTGAATAGAAGAAACCTAATTCAGTAGCTGATTATTAATAGTATAGCTTCAATTCAAGTTATTAAAAACAAGTCATAAAATGGAAGAATTGACTACTGTACATATTCTATGCAATTGTAATGTGCTGGGAGAATTACATCATTACAATATCAGTCCAAGAAATGTATAGTAAATTTTATTTAAGGCAGATAAAGGTGACGATAAAATCGAACTATTTTTAGTGATCTATGACTTGAAAGTATTGAAACAAATTTTAAAATCAAAGAAGAAACATCACACCACAAGTAATAGCCAGGGATGAGTAAATGGAAATGTCGTTGAATATAGTCTAGGAAGTAAAAAAATAGTATTCTACCAGATGAAAAGCATGTAGATGGAAATCTCCCGGTGACACAAAAGATGGAATAATTCGAAATCCAATTGACTTTGTCATTAGAAAAAGGAATTCTATACTTACTGCCAAAACTAAGTAAAAGTAAAAACGTAAAAAGTAAAGTAAAACTTAAGTAGTAGCAAGTAATTACACTAATTACACTGTAAATTGATCTGCTCCATAAATATGTGTTGTTTTATGGTTTAAACTGGCCAAAAAATTCCAATTTTTTGACAAGTTAAAATTGAAATTGTATATAACTAAATTCCTAGAAAATTTTAAGTGTAACTAGATGTTTAATTGAATAACTTTGATGTTAAATCCTTTCTTTACTACAAAAAGTTGTTGAACAAAATTAAATAGTGACAATAAAAAACTAAATGTGCTGATAAGACTAAGTGGTTCTGAGTTTGTGATTATAGTCCAGGAAGTTTTCTATATTTGTTCTATATTTTAATAAATAAAATGGATACATGCGCTGAGTGTAATAACCAATTCGACTTAAATCAAGTTTTTGCTTGTGATGGATGCAGAACTGTGCTTTGTATGGAATGTGGTAATCTAACAGCATCTGAAGTTAAATGCATGCAGTTGAAAACGAAACGTAAACTAAAGTTTTTCTGTGAACAGTGCGAAGTTGGATTTCACAAGGTACCAGCTCTGTTAAAAGAAGTGTGTGAGCTTAAGGAAAGTATAAATAAAATTCTACATAAGGAAAATGTCGCATCTGTTGCACCAGATATGGAGGATATTATTTCCGAAATGCAGGAGAGGCAAAATAGGGCTTCCAATATAATTATATATAATGTTAATGAATCTGTTAAAAATAATCAATCGGATCGTAATGCAGAGGACAAACAAGCGGTACTAAATATTTTGACTGATTTTAATATTAACAAAAATAATGTTAAACTATTTAGACTGGGAAAATTTGCTAACAGAACGAGACCCATTAAAGTAGTATTAAATACAGCTGATGATGCTAAAACTGTTGTCAAAAATAAAAGATTAATTAAAGTGCCCGATGTCAGAATTTCCCTGGATCAAACAAAAGCCCAGCAAGAGTATTTCAAGAAAATCAAATTACAATTAGATGATATGGTTAAGAATGGTGATAATTCTAAAACAATAAAATTCATTAACAATAAGCCTACAATAGTGAAAAAAACTACTAACCAGCCAAAAAACTGAGAAGTACCCTAAAATGTTACTTTCATAATGTTGGTGGACTTCGAACTAAACTCTCTCAGTTAAGGGACTCTTTGCTACTAAATGATTATGATATTGTTATTTTGATTGAATCGTGGTTATCTGAAAAGTTTTTGGCTAGTGAGACTGATCTATTAAACTATAATGTTTATAGACAGGACCGCTATCAGCATGGATTGGACATTGTGGGCGGAGGAGTGTATATTGCAATCAAGAAAAACCTACCCTCTAAACTAATATGTAAGTCAAATTTGCTTAACATAGAACAACTTTTTGTGGAAGTTAAACTGAATGATGATCAGCTTATAATAGGAGGAATCTATATACCACCTAGTTCATTAGCTGAGGCATATGAATATCACTGCACCTTTCTTGAGGAACTGATAAGTCAACATCCACAGAGTTCTGTGATCTTGGCTGGCGATTACAACCTGAGAAATGCTCAATGGGCTAATGATCAAAACGGGGTTTATTTATCTACCATACTTCCTGATGGATCTCATGCGAATACAGTTTGTGGATCTTTTGCATTTTTAAATCTCCATCAGTGCAATAATATACCAAACAGACATGGAACATTCCTGGATCTCATTTTTTCACATATACCTGATCTAAATGTATGTACGCCGGTCGATCCATTGTTTTGTGAATCATTCAGGCATAAGCCGTATGAATTTTTTATCCCTATTGGTTATTTTAAAGAGTCAGTTTTTTATGAAGACTATGTTTATGATTTCAAAAACTGTAATTTTAATTCTGTTAACCTTTATCTATCTTCAGTTAATTGGGATGCATTATACCATTGTAATAATATAAATGAGGCTTGTCAAATATTTTACAGCTATATGTATCAGTGTTTAGATATTTTTGTTCCAATGAAGGCTGTCAAGTGTTCCTACAAGTTCCCAATTTGGTTCTCAATAAAACTTAAAGATCTTATTATTCAAAAGAAAAAAGCTCATCTGAGGTTTAAATTATCTAATTCAAATGAGGACTACTTATTGTTCTCTAATCTACGTGATCAATGTAAAGTTGAACATACACTTTGTCAGAAACAACATTTTTCATCTCTTGAAAAAAATTTTAGTAATAACCCCAGGGAATTTTGGGGATACATTGGCAGACTTCGTAAATCTTCGAGTTACCCCCAAGAAATGTATCTCGGTAACAGAAGGGCACAGGGCAATATCGAAATTGCTAACCTTTTTGCTGAATTCTTCTCTGGTGTATATGAGAAAGATAAAGGTGCTCCCATTCCAGATTTTAAAGACTGTGTCAGACACATTGACCCTGTAAACCTAATTCAAGTTGACACTATATCAGTGTTTGATGAATTAAGTAAACTTCCAAACAAATTCTCCTCAGGGCCTGATGGAGTCCCACCGGTATTATTAAAGCACTGTATATGCTCACTTACTATTCCCCTAAAATATCTTTATAACTTATCTCTTATGACTGGTGAGTTCCCTCCTTGCTGGAAGAACAGTTATATTGTACCCATTTTTAAGTCAGGTAAAAGAGAGGATATTGAAAAATACAGAGGAATTTGTATACAGTCAGCAATCCCAAAACTTCTCGACAAACTAGTGACTTCTCACTTATCAAAACTAACAGACAATATAATAATACCCCAACAGCTTGGCTTTCAAAGGGGGAGGAGCACAGTGTCAAACTTGTTGGTCTACCAAGATGATATATTGGGTGCCTTTGAGAGGAAGTACCAGGTGGACAGCATCTATACTGACTTCTCAAAGGCATTTGATAAAGTAAATCATCGTTATTTAATCAGTAAATTAGGAGCCATTGGTATAGCTGGCAAATGGCTTGATTGGTATGATAGTTTTCTTGTGGGTAACACCCAGAGCATTAAGATAAATGGTGTGTTGTCTCAATCTGTTGACGTCCTCTCTGGAGTACCACAAGGGTCACATTGTGGTCCCCTACTTTTTGTCCTCTTTATTAATGACGTTGAAAAAGTCATTAAGAATTCAAAATTTCTGAACTTTGCTGATGATAAAAAAATTTATAAAGTCATTACTTGTCAGTATGATCAAATTCAGTTACAAGAGGATCTCAGCAGATTTAGCGATTGGTGCAAACTAAATGAATTAAAATTGAACATTGATAAGTGTTGTGTTATTACTTTTCACAGAAAGCAAACAATTTTAAATTACGATTATAGCATTGATGACACTCAGCTGTCAAGACAGGACTGTGTTAAGGATTTAGGTGTTTATTTTGATTGTAAATTAACATTTCGTAATCATCTAGAGGTCACAGTAAACATTGCATTTAAACAATTAGGGTTTATAACTAGAAACACTTCTCAATTTTCATGTTTTGTTTTACCAATTCTTTTTAATAGTCTCATTCGTTCCAGACTAGAATATGCAATAGTTGTATGGGGACCTTACTATCAAACCTCTATTGACAAGCTTGATCGTGTTCAGCATAAATTTTGTAAACACTATCATTACCGTAGTGCTTTTCATGACCTTTCTGTCCCATACAGTTATAGTATGATAGCTGATCA